CCGGTAACTGGTTAACAACTCTTCTAGTTCGCGCGCGCGCGGGGCGGCCCCCGGGGCCCCCCCGGCGAAAAGTACCCCGACCGCAGCCCGGGAAGGTCTACTCAGAGATGGTTTTGAAGGCCCTGTTCCGACACCCCTCACGAGGATTGTGGCCTCCGAAGGGGGTGCGCTCGACTACCCCGCCCCAAGAGGCCCCCAAGAGCCCCCCAAGAGGCCCAAGGGGGCCCCAAGAAGCCGCCAAGGAGCCCCAAGAGACCCCCAAGAGGCCCCCAAGAGGCCCCTAGAAGGCCCCAAAGAGGCCCCCAAGAGGCTTCAAAGAGGCCCCATAGAGCGCTCGAGGGCCGGCGGAATGAGCGAAGCGATTAAATAATTATTGTAGATCCCCCCACCAGTGCACATTGTATTTTTTCAATTGAAGTGCCTTTCCCGGGGCTCGCAGTCTGTTCTTTGACAAGGAAAATCTTGAGGCTCAAACTGGGCCCCTGGCCCCCAGATCTTTTTTTTGACTCGCGGACAGAAGGCGAAACGGCGCGGCCGCCGGCGCCCCAGTACGGCGCCGACCTAATCGGGTACCTTGGGCAGCTGCGCGACGCGGCGCGCAGCAAGGCAGCGAACTCAGCTGCGTTGCCCCCAACGCAGCACAGGTTGCCGAGGAGCGCGCCTGCCCCCGCGCTGGCAGCCGGTCCTGCCAGCCTGGACACGCGCCCCCCAGCACGGCCGCCGCGGTCCCGGCGCTGCCACCGCAGCGACGAAGGCAACAAACGAATCCGGGGCCTTGTGCGAGGGGGTGCGGCCGCCACGAGCGCCCCGAGAAGAATGCCGCCAGCATGGCGCCAACGCTGACGGGCTCGGCGCTGCCACTCCGGCGCGGCCGGGCAGCCGGCGGAGCCGCGCGGGCGTGGCCGGGCAGGGCGGGGCCCGCTGGGGCGGGCGCCGCGCGAGTGCGAGCCCCGCGGCGGACAGCCCGCCAGATGCGCCGGCCGCGGCGCTGGCGCGCTGGCGCGGCGGCCAAGGCCGCATGCTGGGCAGCCGCTTGCGCCTGCTGCGCCGCTTCCAGCAGTTCCAGCTCCCTGAGGCGGCCGCGCACCAGCTCGCCTGGCACTGCCCGCTGCGCCGCGGCGGCGCCGGCGTTGCTGTCAGCCGCGGCGTTGCCGAGGTGGTCGCGCTCGCTCCCAAGCGCCGCGCCTCAGTCGGCGTCTTGTGGGCTGGGACCCAGCGGCCCCGCAGCCGCCCGGAGCGCACGGCGTCCGCCAGCTGCAGCCGCAAGTCGGCGTGCTCCCAGTCACGCACGTCGGAGCCAGCTACGATCTGGGCGCAAGACCGCACGACGTACTGGCTGTCTGTAGCGAGGCCGACGGGGCCCCCGGCGATGCAGGCCGCCGCCGCGGCGGCTGTCACTTCGGCCCGCTGTGCCGTCTGCAGACCGCCGACCGGTCCGGCGAGATCCGGCTCCTCGAGGCCCTCGCACCGCAGGCCCCATGCCGCGCGCGCCAGCAGCGGGTCAGTAGGGTGGAGGCATGCCCCGTCGCTCCACACCGTCCGGCGGGGCGCCTCAGGGAGCCGCGCGGCCTGGGGTGGAAGCTGCGGGCGCTCGCTCCCTGCTGCCCCTGCGAGGGCGGCGAGCAGCGGCGGCGGCGCGAGGACTCCGGTGGAGGCGACCCCGGCCGGCAGCAGCTGCCGCAGAGCCCTGGCGTCACTGGGCAGCGTCTCGGTCCGCGGCGCTGCGGCCAGCGCGGCGCGGCGGGGGCCCTCCCAGGCAGGGCACAGCCACAGGCGATGCTCGAGGTCCTCGGGGGCCAGCCCGCAGTGCGGGCAAGTGCCAGCATTGCCGTTCCACTTCGCCGCGATGGCCTCGGTGACGACGCAGCCGCGCATGACGCTGCGCAGGGCACTAGCGGCCTCGGGAGACAGGGCGTCGGTGGCAAGCAGGCGGCGCGTCGCCCGCCTGTCCACGCCGCTGGCCAAGTGGGCAAAACGCGGCCGGCGAGACGCGAGCTTGCAGCGCTCCGCCCGGTGCCGCGCCGCCATCACCACGCGTTCAGTGGATCGCCGCGACCGCTCTGCAGGGCACCAGCCGTGCGGCGCAGACGGCACGCCCACCCAGCTCTCCACGTCGTCGCCCAGGCCCAGCTCGCGCAAGCTGCGCAAGGCAGCGGCCACCGGCCCGACGGCGCGCCCAGCTCCAACGCGGACAGCCGCCGAGGTGTTGCGCCACACGGCGAGGTCCAGCTGGCCAGCCCGGAGCGCCCGCGAAGCTTGCAGCACCGGCGCGACGATCACCGCTGCCTTGGGGTCCAGGCGCCACGTGGGGCTGAGCACGCCGAAAACGATCTCGGCGGCTGCCCGGGGCCCATGGCCGGTGGCAGCCTTGGCAGCGCGGCGCAGCCGCTCCAGCTCGCTCGCGGCCGGGCGGCCGCAGGAGGAGCCGTAGGTGCCCGCGGCCGTGCCGGCGGACGCTCCCAGCAGACACCGCCAGCGGAAAGGCACGGGCAGGCGGCGGATGCGCGCAAAGCGGCCGCAGGCCAGCTGCACCCGCGCCAGGGCCACGGGGTGCTTGCGCCGCTTGCCGGCGACCGCGACGACCCCGAGGTCGCGGATCTCAGTCCCAGCGGATATCGACGGCATCTCGTTCTGGAGCTACCGCCGGACAGAAGCCAGGTTGGCGAACTGGCGGCTCTTGACCTCGTGCAGCCGCCAATCCATGTCTGCCTCGCACGCACGGGTGATCCGCAGGGCCTCGGTGACCGCCTCGGCAGTGGCGTCTGGGTCCCCGCGCGCCCACGCCGTGAGGTCGTCGACATGCACGCGGCGCTTTAGACCGCCGCCCACGCGCCCCGTGTGCTGGTACCACGGCCGCACCAAGACACTGAGCACGAAGACGGCCAGCGCGCATCCAGGGGGAATCCCGCTGGTTGGCGCCCACGGGCCGCCGAGGGCGCCATCGACGCGCAGCCTGCGGGGCGCAGTGTATGCGGCGAGGAGCGGGCCGCGCATCCACTCGGGAACGCCAGCTCGCGTCAGCACCTGCTCCAGGAGCTGCAGGCTGACGTGGTCGAAGGCCTTGCGCCAGTCAAGGGCTGCGCCACAAATGGCCTCTCCGGCTGCCTCCGCGGCCTCCAGCTCGAGGGCGAGGTCCAACGCGAGCTCCTCGGGGCCGATGCCGCCGCCAGCGTCGCCCCACGCCATGCGCCATCGCGCAAACAGCTGCGCCCTGCCTGCGGCCCAGACGCGGTGCAGCATGGGGAGCAGCCAGATCGGCCTGCGGTCCATCGGCCCGCCGTCACCCGGCTTGGGGAGCAGCAGACCTTCTGGACTGCGCAACTCTGGTGGCCAGCGGCCCGTTTGCTCGACGGTTTCGAAGAGCTCCGCGATCCACTCGAGCAACTCGGCGGGCAGGAGGCGCAGCTCCGCAACGGCCCATCCGCCCAGGCCGGGCGCCAATTGTTCTTCGCCATCTTCTGGAGGATCGCGTGGACCAGGTCAGCCGTCCAAGGCGCCCTCTCCGGGAAGGGGGGGAGGGAGTCGAGCTCGACGAGCCACTGCTCCAGGCGAGGCGTCGGCGGCGTGCTCCTTTGCCACAGCGCCCGCCAGTGGTGCTCCAGGTAACGGAGCTGGGCAGCAACACCACCTCGCAGAGAGCAGCACCTGAGATACGCGTTAACGGACACTCGGGCAGATAAAAGCGAACAATCTTAAAATGATGATGATGATTGTTGTTGTTGTTGTTGTTGTTGTTGTTGTTGTTGTTGTTGTTTCAGCGGTTGTTGCTGTTTGCTGGCTTCACGATGCGCGCGGATATCATGAGGTGGCAGTGGCCAGTAGCCTGGCCCAGAGAGTAAAGATGCGACTACGTCTGCCCGAACGCCTGTATCGTTGAATCTGGCAGCGTCCCCACAATAAACATCGTAAGCACATCGAGCTTGGTACTTGTGTCGGGTACACAATAAAACAAACATGACTTCTGCAAACCTGATAATGCCTGCATGCCCAAGGCGAAATACACTTTCAGACCGCTTCCAACTACTCCCCGAGAACACTCCCCGACTCATCAAGGGCCCGTGAGGGTCCCCTTCACTCAGGAGGTAGATGGCAACATGGGGTAAGCAAACACTTCATCCGCCTTAAGAAACTGCTCGGGCAGTGAAACCTCAAGCGTCCTTCGAAATAATTTTCGAGCTTGCAGCATTGAGAAGTTGTGCTGGGCACTTTCCCGGCACCGCTCAAACGATAGTCCAACCACACACATTGCAGTCGGGGGTACGGTGCGCAAGTGTTGTGTGCCTGCGCAAGAGCTCGGTATCTCCCAATAGTGCGCGCTCACAAGAAGGAGGCACAGCGGTTGACAAGTACAGCATGTACTCACGAATGATGCCATCAACATCTAGCCCGCATTGTCCCCCTAGGAATCAATCAGTGCAATGCCACGAAAGTGAAACATGCTCCTGGCATCCGATATGATCTAGCACTGTATCAGCTGGGGCGTGCTACGTCAAGGTTAGCTGCGGCAATCCATGTCATTACCCAGACTGTTAGGGATATTTGATCAAACGCTCGATCAACCACACAGACTTTGTCACGTTTGCGGCCGAACTGAGAATGTTACACACGCGGCCGGATTCACACGCGGAACATGCGGAGGCCACTTGCAGGGTACACATCTGGAACATCACCACGCTTTGCCGATCGCTGGAAAAAACACACGGCCACATGTGATTCCAGCTCCCGCCCAGGCTGGCCACGTCCCACGTGTCCAGCTTCCTGGTAGATTCTACAAGAATGGGTGCTGGCGCCCTTCGGACGTATGCTTGACAGAGAAGCCGAGTCCAGGGACGCAAAGCAAGACATAATGCATTTTGAACGCGCCCGCTCGCCACGCCACCTGGGCGCGGTGCCACTAAATACTGGCGCTTGGGCACCACGGCCAAAAGGGCACACAGCTTCTGGCGGAGCTTACTGCGCGGACGCCCCTGGAGACTCTCCGGGGAGCGCATCCGCCTCCCTCACTCGATCGCCTCTGCGATGTACGCCGACGCCAGGGTAGCGAAGATCAGCGCCTGGATGGAGCCAGCGAAGATGCCGAGCGCCATAATGGGCAACGGGATGACGAAGGGGACCAGGAAGGTAAGGACCTTCACTCTCCCCATTCTCCTTCGCCCCCTCTACCTCCCCCTTGTCGTCATTGTCGCCCGCCTCCTCCTCCTCGTCCTCCTTCTGCTCCTCCTCCGCCTCCTCCTCCTCCTCATCGATGACCGCCACGGTCAGCTCGTCGGCCAGGACGTTGCCGAACAGCCTGAAGCTCAGACTGAGCGGCTTGGTGAAGTCCTCGAGGATGTTGATCGGCAACAAGATGGGCGTGGGCTTGACGTACCTCGGCGGTGAGGAGTATTGGCAAGCGCCAAAGGGTGGGCCCTCTCCAGCCCCTCCCTCCACACCAGGCTTCCCTCCCTCCTCCTCCTTCTCCTCCTCCTCCTCCTCCTCCTCCTCCTCCTCATCCCCACAGCCGTTCTGGCTTCGGCGCAGGCCGGCCGGAGCGTGGGCCGGCGGAGACTTCCTCGCCTCTTACTCAGGCATCGCAGTCTCGCCGAACACTTTCTCACACTCTGCTCGGGCGCTGCACTGTCTTCACGATCCGCGGAGCTCACCTCAATGCCCCGCCCGCCGACCCGCCCGACGGGGCTCTCCCGCCTCGGGGACGCGCCGGCGCCCTCCCGGGGCGCCGAGGTGGACGAGGCGGTGAAGGGTGCGTCTGCGTGCCAGGCCCGACCCCTCAGGTGAGATCGAGGTCGGTATGGTGATGGGCGTGCCGTTCGAGCGTGCCACGCCTCCTCCTCCTCCTCCTCCTCCTCTTCCTGCCACTCCTCCTTCTACCTTCCTCCTCCTCCCTTGGCCTCGTCCTCGTTCCTCCTCCTCCTCCTCCTCCTCTTCTTCCTCCTCCTCCTCCTCCTCCTCTTCCTCGTCCTCGTCCTCGTCCGCCTCCTCGTCCTCGTCCTCGTCCTCGTCCTCGTCCTCGTCCTCGTCCTCGTCCTCGTCCTCGTCCTCGTCCTCGTCCTCGTCCTCGTCCTCGTCCTCGTCCTCCTCGTCCTCGTCCTCGTCCTCGTCCTCGTCCTCGTCCTCCTCCTCCTCCTCCTCCTCCTCCTCCTCCTCCTCCTCCTCCTCCTCCTCCTCCTCCCCCCCCTCCCCTGCGGCCCCCCCCCTCCGTGCGAGCCGAGATCGGCGACGTGGTGCAGGGCGTGCCTCCCTTCAACAAGAGGAGGACGAGGTTCGGCCGCCTGCAGTGGCAGGCACACCCAGAAGGTCCGAACTACTGTGCGCGTGCCCTGGGACCCGCCTGGCAGCCACGATTTCGATCCACCGCTGATGGAGGAACGATCAGCAACATCAACGGGGCCAGTAGAGAGGCGGAGACGGAAAAAGGAGCCTCCGGCGGGGCACCTCGCGAAATACCCGAGCCCCTTCTTCACGAGGCCGCCGCCAAAGTAGGCGATGGAGGTAAGCAGGCTCAGCGCCACGGTGGTGTTGATGTTGTTGGTGGGCGCCTCGGGGCACAAGCCCCCTCCTCGCTTCTCCTCCCTCCTTCCCCTCCTTCCCCTCCTTCCCTCCCTCCCCTCCCACCGAAGAAGGATGAGGAGGTATCCTTGGCTCAGTCGCCACGGGTGTATGAAATGGGGCCCAGCAGCCGTCACCCATAAAATCCCACAAACGCGGTGGGTCCTTCCGTGGTCGTCGCCCATCAGGTCCCGCGCAACCTGTCCTAAGCTCAATTCTACTGGGTCTGTGCAGTGCGGTCTGGCTGGGGCCGTCGTTTTGCCAGCCAGTGTTGGCATACTCGCAACAGCAGCAAGTGTCATTGTGGTTGTAGTCGTAGGCGCGGTGCTAGGTCCACAACTGCTACCACAATCCTTACCACTACTGCCTCTGCTGCTGCTGCTGCTGCTGCTGTTGTAAGCGGCTTTACCGCTACTGGCTACTACTACCGACTATACTAGTCCTACGCTGCTACTGTTGCCATGCCCACTGGTGCCGCTAAGCCTCCCACTCCTGCTCCGGCCTGTACACGTGGGCCTGCTCCTGCTGATGAGATTGCTACAACTCTTACCCCTAATATTACTCGCCATGTATGGGCTGGGACGGTTGGCCCTGGGTTTCGGTTCTCGCTGCAATTCCCCAAGCAACTTGCCTTTGAGGTTGTGAATCTTCCCCAAGCAATGCTTGCACTCAGGGGTTCTTGCTACTTTTTCTAAGGAACTGGGCCTGGGTGGCGGTATGGCGGCTCCGTGCTCGCCGTCGCCGTCGCAGTCTCGATCGCCGCCAATCGTCTGGGCCTGGGTGGCGGTCTGGCGGCTACGTGTTCGCCGTCGCCGTCGCCGCCTCGATCGCCGCCAGTCCTCTGGGCCCGGGTGGCGGTCTGGCGGCTCCGTGTTCGCCGTGGCCGCCCCGCTGTTGCCATTTAAAGCATATGTTTTCGCAACAACAATTTTCAAGACAAGCCTTGCGCCCGCGCTCATGCGAATTCTTAAGAACACCACAAGTTTTCAGCATTATGATCACATGCTACCAACAGAGCCATTCGCGCGCGCGTGTCGAAATCGTTCGAACGCCCCTACGCGCGTGCTGTCGCAAACACCCCGACGAAGTGCACGCGCGTGCGCGTACGCCGGAATCCTTCAAAAACGCCAGATTCTTCGAATGTCCCGAAAACTTAAATAAAACACGTAAATTTGCAATGCGAGTTTTCCAAAAAAGAGCCTGCGCTCGCGCTTTTGCGAATCCTTAATTCGACCACGTGTTTTCCAACATTTTCATTGCATTCTGCCAAGCGGGCCTCTTGTGCCGCATGTCGAAATCATTCGAACGCTTTTGCGCGCGAGCTTGGGGGGCACGTCCCGTCTTAAATAAAACAATGCGGGCCGCTTTCGTGCGTCGGCCGCGCGCGCACGTCGAATTGCTTCCAAAACTTGCATCACCGACGCGAGGACGCCGTCATTGTCGTCGGTGTGATCAACATCGGCGCCGTCACTGGCCTTGCCGTCGTCGTTATCATCATCTTCGCCCGTATCGCTACCATCATCCTCGTGCCTACCGTTGTCGACGTTGCCATGATACCGCGCCCACCCAAGTCACCGACTCGCTTTGACCCGCGGGGAAATGCCCAGCGGTCAGCGCCACAGCGCCCGTGTCGGTCGCGCCAAACTGGCTGCCCGCTGCGCGAGCGAGCATGCGCGGTCTAGCGCGGCCGCAGAAATGCACCAGCCAACGCCAAGCACTCATCACAATCGCCCCCGCATGGGCTTATGCGAACCAAATTGCGGGTAGGTGGATGCGATGATTGCGTGAGCAGTGGAGTTAACAACTCACTGCGAACAAACATTAATTCTCCTTTCTCAACTTCTCCCTAGAGAATAGACTGTACCCCCCACCCCCGGGATTATCGACACCCCTTTGCGTATTGCAATTTGCATATGATTTTGCCCCATCGTCCATCCTAGATATGAGCGCATACCGTTCCAGCCAGGCCGGTATTGACCCTCCTCGTCACCCTCTGCAAAAACATACTATGCGCGCGCACTCGTTTATCAAAGATCAGAACTTTTCAAAACTCCCCTGCAACAGAAAAAATCGAAGTACACACGCGCGCGCGTCGTCGCGCGCGCATGCCGCAATCCTTCAAAAACCTTTGGTTTCGTAAAGATTTCAGAACCGAGTGTCGAAACAACATGTATAAAACACATGGCTTCGCAACAGGGTTTCCAACGCAAAAGAAGCGCGCGGGCTCTTGCGAATTCTTGAAGAAAAAATGGTTCTGTATTTTCATAAAGTGGCACCAAGCGGGTTTCGCGTGCGCATGTCGAAATCGTTCGAGCGCCCATGCGCACGTGCCGTCGCGAGAGCCCATTCGAAAAATGGGGCGAAGTGCACGCGCGCGCGCGTCGTCGCGCGCGCGTGCCGAACTCCGTCAAACATCGTCGTTGCCGTAACGGTGGCAAGACCGAGTGTCAAACAAACATGCAAAAACAAATGTTTCCACAACGTCAGTTCTCAACAGAGCGTGCGCTCGCACTCTTGCGAATTCTTGAAAAACCGGCGATGTTTCAACATTTTCGTGGAATCTTGCCAGACGGGCCTGTCGTTCCGCATGCCGACATCATTCGCGCGCCCTTGCGCGCGTGCTGGGGGGCGGGGGGGGGGGCGCGCGATCCGCGTCGAAGTGTGCCGCGCGGGCCACTCTCGCGCGTCGGCCGCGCCCGCATGTCGAACTCTTTCCGGAACCATCATCGCCGACGCGAGGACGCCGTCATCGTCGTCGGCGTGATCAGCATCGGCGCCAGCAGTGGCCGCGCCTTCGCCGTTATCAACATCGCCGCCAGCATCGCTACTATCATCATCGCGTCTACCGTTGTCGACGTTGCCACGATACCGTGCCCCGCAAATCGCCGACTCGCAATGAAGTGCCCGCTGGGATGCGCCCAGCGGTCAGAGCCGCCGTGGCCGCGTCGGCGGCGCCAAACTAGCTGGCCGCTGCGCGCGCGTGCTCGGGTTGGCGCGGCCGCGGAGATGCACCAGCCGACGCCGCGCGTGCATCGCCATCGCCGCCGCATGGGTTTTCAAAACAAGTCGCGGGTGGGTGGGTGGGTGGGATGTTTACCGGAGCATGGGATGTGTTATGTCGTTTGTTTTAATCAATTGCGCCGCCTGGATTTCTCTAAAAAGAGAATATACTCTACCCCCCCCCCCCCAGGATTATCGACGCCCTTTTCGCATTGCAATTTGCATATGGTTGTGCCCCATCGTCCATCCTGGATTTGACTTCGCACCGTCCCAGCCAGGCCAGTATCGACCCCCCGCGTCGCCCTCGTGAGAAAAATGAAAAGCGCACGCGCTCGTTTACCAATAATCACAATCTATCAAACAAAACCATGCAAGAAAGAAAAGACAACAACGAAGTGCACGCGCGCGCGTCGTCGCGCGCGCATGCCGAAATCCCTCAACAACCGTTGGTTTCGGAAGGGTCAAAATCGAGCGTCCAAACAACAGTTGAACAATCGCAGCGGTGGTTATCAAAAAGAAGCGCGCGCGCTCTCACGAAATCTTAAGGAAGCCATTGGTTTCTCATTTTTTCCATGAAATGCCGCCGAACGGGCTTCGCGCGCGCGTGTTGCAATCGTTCGAACACCCTTGCGCGCGCGCCATCGCGAGAATTCTTTGCAGCGAATAGGGCGACGCGCGCGCGCGACCGTCGTCGCGCGCGCGTGCCGGAATCCTTCGACCACCCTGGGTTTCGAAAGGGTTTGAAAACCGAGTGTCCAAAACAAATCAAACAAATATGGTTTTGCAGCGCCAGCCTTCAGAAACGCGTGCGCTCGCACTCCTGAGAAGTTTCGAAACAACCGTGGGTTTTTCAACGTGTTCACGGAATTCTGCCTAACGGGCCTCTGGCGCCGCATGCCGACATCAATCGCGCACCCTCGCGCGCGTGCTGGGGGGGGGGCGCGATCCGCGTCGAAGAATGCCGTGCGGGCCATTCTCGCGCGTCGGCCGCGCGCGCGTGTCGAACTCTTTCCAGCGCCTCCATCGCCGACGCGAGGACGCCGTCCACGTCGTCGGCGCGATCGGCATCGGCGCCCGCGCTGCCCGCGCCTTCGTCGATGCGAACATGGTTGGTCGCCAGCATCGCTACTATCGTCATCGTGCCTGTCGTTGTCGGCGTTGCCATGGTACCGCGCCCCGCAAATCGCCGACTCGCAATGAAGTGCCCGCTGGGATGCGCCCGGCGGCCGGCGCCGCCGCGGCCGCGTCGGCGGCGCCAAACTAGCTGGCCGCTGAGCGCGCGGTTTGGCGCGGCCGTGCACCGGCCAACGCCGCGCGCGCGTCGCAACCGCCGCCGCGTGGGTCCTGCAAACCAAGTTGCGCGTGGGTGGGTGGGATGTTTGCAAGAGCATGGGATGTGTCAACTCGTTTGTTTAAAATCAATTGCACCACATCGATTCTCATGTCTGAAAGAGAGGAAGAGGTTTACCCCCCCCCCGGACTTGAATATTCACCCTTTCGTGTTGCAAATTGCATATGAATCTGACTCAATGTCCATCCTACCTGTGAATTCATGCTATCCCAATTAGGCCGGCATCGCCCCCCCCCCGCCATCCTCCGCGCAGAAATATGATGGGCGCGCGCTCGTTTGCCAAAACTCATGAGTTCCCGCGAATTCTTTGCAAGCAGCGGTGCGAAGTGCACGCGCGCGCGCGTCGTCGCGCGCGCGTGCCGAAACCCTTCAAAAACTTTTGGTTTCGGAAGGACTTCAAACTCGAGATCCCAAACAACATTTTTAAACCAGTTCTCGCAACGCGGATCTTCAAACAAAAGGAAAACATGCGCGCGCTCTTGCGAATTCTTGAAAAACAAGCATTTTCAGAAACTGGTGCCAAATAAGCTTCGCGCGCGCATGTCGAAATCGTTCGAACGCCCTTGCGCGCGTGCCGTCGCGAGAACCTGCTGCAACAAATGGGGCGAAGTGCGCGCGCGCGCGTCGTCGCGCGCGCAT